GCTTAGTGCCTTCACTCACACTCACATACTTGCTCCAGTTGCTTCCTAAATGGAAACACTCATAGGTCTATCCAGAAGTGGACACTTCTGGTTTGCATACTTAGCTGGAAGAACTCAACAACCATTTCAATGAGAAGCAAATCCAAACCTCCTAACATCTCAGAGGTTTCCCCAAACCAGAATCCCCCTTCTCCCAAAAGCTGAAGTACCCACAACATATCCCTGTAGGGAAAGGGACTGCAGAGGAATGTTATTCCTTCCATGCAGGTGAATTGCTCTGCTGAAAATCAGGGACTGTGATGCCAGTGGAGAGCAGAACAGTAATTCAGATGGCAGCTTTCAGCATGCAGTGAGATGGGCATGGGCTGGGGGATCACAATAAATGGTGGGAAGTTCCACCATTGCTCACCTGCACTGCTTTTGGTGCTCTACCCCTCAGGGCACATCAGCAATGTTCTGCAGAAGGTGGACGTGCAGCTCATCCAGCAGGACATCTGCAGCGAGGCCTATCACTACATGATTTCTCCCAGGATGCTGTGTGCTGGGTACCACAAGGGCAAGAAAGATGCCTGCCAGGTGACAGAGGAGTTGTGGGATCAGGGTTGACTACCAGAGGTGGGGTGTGTCCCAAGTCTCCCAAATGTACTCCATAGCCTGAAATGAGGGTGAAAAGACCATAAAATGCCTGACTTCCCCAACCCTTCCTCTGGTCTAAGTGGCCAACAACAGCTCTGAGGACCACTTCTTCACAGCATCTTTGCGTTAGACAGGATCCAAATACACTTAAACTTCTCCTTTTCTCATTTCAGCCCACTCTACACTCTTTACCTCCCACTTCCAAATCTACATCAGCCTCTTCCCCCCCTCAGCCTCATTAGCATCTGTCACACACAGTAACTTGTCTGTTCCTTCATTACTATCAATCTCAAGGAATTCCTCTGTCTCCCATCCCTCTGGGTATCCAGTTAAATTCCACCAGCTTCCTTGCTCTCCATATATTTGGAAATGCCACACGGAGCAGAAGGAAAAAATAGAGCTGTCAGCTTCTTGGGAGCTGGCTAAGGGGGAGGAATTTGCATTGATGAAGGAATGCAACAATAGGTTGGATGTTTGCACTGGAGATTGTTTTTGACATCTGCCTAAGGTACAAGGGATGTTGCAGATGTCCCAGGCATGAGTTGAGGGGATACAGGAATCTGCATACAGAGGGACTCAAAGCTAGTGTAATCATCCAGCAGGAGAAGCTGGTGGATCACCATCAACCCATTTTTCTTTCCCTTTCTCTAGGGCGATTCTGGAGGTCCGCTGGCCTGCAAGGAACCCAGTGGCAGGTGGTTTCTGGCTGGTTTGGTCAGCTGGGGAATGGGATGCGCACGTCCAAATCACTATGGAGTATACACCAGGATCACTCAAGTGCTGGGCTGGATGAACCAAACCATGAGCTGAGAAAAGTGCATCTCTGCCTTCTCCACATCAGACCTACACTCACATGGCACTTATTCCTGATCTTGCTCACTTGCCTCTCAGAGAGAGTTTCTGTGTGGGATGTTGTCAGACCCAGGATGCTCTTCTGAGCAGGGTAAAAGAAGCCTGTGCTGGGGATTGTAGAGAAAAGCAGGCAGACCCTCTTCCCCCTCAGTGCTTCCCAGGGAGCATCCCAAGGTGTTTTTAGGCCATCCATCCAAAAGAGTTGGCAGTGGGGGCGGGGGGCGGGGAGGGGATGGACACGATACACAGCAACGGTCCCAAGTTGGTGGTTTCTGAGAAAAGGAATAAGGGGAGTTGAACTTTCCATGAACCATGTGATTCAGCCACAATCTTATGCTGGAACATTTGCTGAAAGAAAATGTGACTGATGTAGTTAGAGATTCCAGTAACTGTGAAATCAATCTGCCTCCCTCTTCCTTCCTGCTGCTCATCCTTCTTCCCCCTTCCCCTCCCATCACTCCTCCTCTTCCATCTCCCTAATTGCTTCTTTTCTTAGCTGGCGGGTGCTGTTCAGTGTGCTGTTCAGCTCAGCCAGGCAACTCTTCACGTCTCACTGACTCCCAGGCACGAGTCCAGCATCACACCCCCAAGCGTGTGTCCTGCCTCCCTGCTGGAGCAGCACCCAGCCTCCACTGCTGCACTTGGACTCCCTCAGGCAAAGGCCCCGGCCCCTCAGCAAAAACATTGGAGCAGCCTCCCATCCCCTTCTCTCAGACCTTCTAAATACCTTTAACATAAGGGCATCTCAACTGCTTCCATCTCCTAAGTCAGATAATCCAGGAGGTGAAGGAGAAGGCTTAAGGGCACAATGTTTAAACAGTGACTGCTATGGGTTTGATTCTTTTACCAAAGATATATATATGTGTGTATGTATATATATACACAATGGGCCACTCTCTGGAATTAGAAATAACATTAATTTGAGGGTTTTTTTGGTTCTAGTTTGCCTTACTCTGTTAAAAATTATCCTCCAATCCTGGCACTGGCAACTGGCAAAAGTTTCCACACCCCTGCCCTCCCTCTCAGCTGTGTCCCAGGCGCAGTGGGGTCAATACGCTAGCTAGGTAGGTGGTCCTCGCTTATTGTCATGATTTAGGGGTGCAGATACCAATAAGCAAACCTGCTCTGTAGCCCAGCTGCCCGCAGTGGGGATGCAGCACAGATGCAGTGGGAAGTACCTCCAGCCCCCAGAAGACAGGCACAGCACAAGCAGCTTCTGGTGGCTCCGGGTGATGAATCCAAACCCCTCTTCTCCAGCTCCCACCCCCTTCTACCAGCACCAAATTTCTGCCACTTGAAATGAGAGGCGGCAAGGAGGAACAGATTGTGAATTTTATTCAGGAATTACAGCCTGGGGTCCTCAGACAGAGCAGTAAAGCAAACGCCCTGCTCCCCGAGGCAGGGATCTCCTCGTGCTAGCAGACACGACACCAGGTGCCAGCATGTTCCCGGTACCCGGGCAGCACGCCCGTCTCCTCCTCACCCTGCCAACACAGGGCTGCTTTGGGGGACAGAGAGGGAGGCGCCAAGGAGCGTGATACCCAGCACAGGGGCACCCCGTGAGCAGCGCAGGTGGCCCAGAAAAGGGCAGTGGCTCTGCATTTGCCCTCTGGCCACAAGCCCAGACCAGCTGCCTTCAACAGTGAAAGGGTGAGGACTGGTCCTACAGCAGCTGCCACCACCTCAGGGCCCCAGTCGCATCCAGGGTGTTCAGGAAGGGACCGCAGGCTGCAGTGGCTGATCACTGATGTCCCCAGCAGGGGCCACTGTGACATTAAGGAAAGCCAGCCTGCTAGGCATGGGAGGGGCCGTGGGCTCCAGCCCCTGCAGCAGCCCAGGGGCTCCTTGGAGCATCTGCCCTCCTCCAGGGCTGAGGCTCAGGCCTCCGAAGTGAGTTTGTAAAAAAGAACGGCTGCATGTGAAGAGTGAAGGGGGCTGGGGGTGTCACTGTGGGGCGAGGGGCTGCCGTACACTGCAGTACAAAAATAAATATATAAACAAGAAATGAAAAGGCTGGAGTGGAGTGTCGGGATCACATCCTCAGACCTCTGGCTTGTAACAGCTAGAGAAGGTGAGAGAAAGAGAGAAACAAAATCAATGGCAGGAAAAAAAAGCAATTGAGCATGGAGGGGAGAGTGAGAAACAGGAAAAGGGAAATGACAGAGGAAATGAGAACAGAAGAAAAAGAGAAGAGATGAGGAGTGAGGGTGGGAGAACAGAGAAAAAGGAAGGAAAAGTCCGCGTGGTTAACATACACTGACTTTTAAGAGAATAACACTCAGGTCCCACAGCCACGGACAAGAAGGGTCTCGAACAGAGGGAGAGAGAAATGTCAGCCAGCTAACAAGTGCCCTCCACCAGGATGGAGAGTGGCACTGAGCACCTCTGGTTTAACAAGAGCCCCACACTTTTCTGGTATGAGAGAGGAATCCTCCTTCTAAAGCTTTCTGTACCCAGCCCCACGCACGCTGGCCAGGCAGCCTCCCTGAGCAGGAGGCAGAGCACAGAGGCTCATTTCACACACAGCTGCAAGAACATCTGGAGTGGGGATCGGCCGCTTCCGCTCTGCCTTCGCCACCCTCTCCCACTGCGCTCTCACCCTGGCAGAGGCGGTGGGGGAAAAGCCCAGGGAAGTGAAAGCAGGGAGGGGAAAATAACAGGCTGCCTTCTGCAAACTGCTCTCGGGCTGGCAGGCAAAGGAGCTGTGGATGGCAGTCTGGAGAAGTGATCTGGCATGCGTGTCAAGCAGACACATGGCAGACCTTCCCCCCTTCCCCGTGCCACCCCTGCCTGCTTTGCATTCATTTCCACCCCTCCTCATTTCTCCCAGCTGCGCTCTCCCTTCTGCTGCCAGAGCCTCTGGTCCGGAGCCGTAGGGTCTGCTTGGCAGGTAAAGGCACACATAGGATGAGAATGGGAAAAGCCACCTTAGGGATGAGTCAACCTCCCCTCCCTCCTTCCCCTCCCCAAGCTCTACAAACCAGGGCCATACCCACAAGAGGGAAGTGAGTCACTCATGCAGAGCTCAGGCTGGCAGGAGCAGAGAGTGCAGACAGGTAACGTACCTGCAGAGGAGGAAAAGTGAGGAGCAGAGAGAGACAGGGCCCCAGGGAAGGGACCACTCTGAGCCCTGGGGCGCAAAGAGAGCAGAGGGAAGGATGCTGGAGGCTGGGGAGTGGGGCAGGGTAGGAGGTAGGTGACAGTGCTGGGATGGACACGGAGGGGAGCAGGAGGGAGGGTCCAGAGGAAGAAAGAGTTTAGTGCAATCCCAAATAGATGGACAGTCTGCAAATAAAAATATAACCGTAAATAAACCAAACAGTTTAAAATACAAAGCAGCAGCCACAGTAACAGCTCTCCCCTGTCAGCTTTATCTCCAGAGAGACTCCTGCTCCTGGAGAGGACTGCCCCCACACCCCACACCTGCCCTAGTCCTTCCCTGCTGCTAGCTGTGAGCTCTCACCAGAAAGGTGGACGGGTCTATGCTTGGGGGGTTATTTTTATCATTTTCCTCAAGGATTTGCTGCACCTTTCTCCTCTGCTTCTGCTTCTGCCTCTGCCTCCTCCTCCTCCACCTCCTGCTCTTCCTCCTCCAGGTCCTCCTCTGTGCTCTGTGGCCCAGCATGCAGGACAAAGGGAAGAAAGAGTGGAGATACTTGCAAGATGAGCCATGGCAGTTCTTTCTGACACACAAGGGAATAAAGCAATGGTCATGACACTGGAATAAAAAGGGACCTTCCCCCGTGGCCAAGACAGCTCTGGGTCAGGGAGCAGAGAGACTTGTCTTCCTCTGGAGCATCATGTCAGGGCTATCTAACCCCCTTACAAGTGCTGTGATCCCACTGCCCAACAACTGCTATCAATCGCTAGTGCTCCTTCCTGTATCCTAGGTGTCTACAGGATGTCATGCACTGCCACACGTTTCTGTCCTTTCCTCAAAAGGAGAGCAGGTGATCTCCTGCCCCTTAGGCTGGGACTCAGCAAAAGGAAAGAGAACGCTGCAAAACCTTCAGGGAAATCACACCCTAGAGGCAGAGTGAAACACACAGCATGGTCATGAGGGAGGCATGAAGGGGATGTTAGAGTAGCATGAGAAGTGCCAGGGTCACTTGCTAAAGCCATTTGCCACACACAGCTGAACACCACCACTCTCAACACACGCACTCCTCCTTTTGGGCAATGGGTATAATGCCATGGTGCTGAACACCAGGACAAGCCCCTGTATTTCACCACTGAGGAGCCCCACAGTCACAGTGGAGAGAGGAAAAAAAGAGGGAGCAAACAAGAGCGAAGGATCTCATAGGCAACGGGAGCAGGGCCATAGCAAAGTTGGTCTCACCTTGGCTTTGTGGCTGGGCTCAGAGCTCAGGCCACTGGGGGAGTTGTACAGCTCTTTGGAGACCACGCACAGGAACTCTGTCTGATCCTCATTCCCGTAGTTATAGGATGAGCCAATGTTCACAAGCTAGAAAAGACAAGAGCAAGAATCACAAGCACATGTTACTGCAAACATCCACTCCACCTGTGGAGCAAGGCAGAAAGCCCACCATGCAGCATGGAGTCCAATCCGTACCCCTAATAGAAAGGCCTCATAACTAAGCTCAGGAGGCAGCACAGAGAACCAGGAGAGGAGTCAGCCAGGATGCAAAACAGCTTAATCTCACACAGTATCCTCTGAACCTCTAGAGTAGGGGCAAGAGAGAGCCAGTGTGACAGCACCATCAATGAGTGACCCAATATTCTCAGAGGGAAGGTGCCTTGCCTGGGGACTGTATGGTATCCATGATCTTTTCCCCAAAAGACAACTCCTTCCCACTCTCCTCTACCTTCTCCATACCTGCTCAAAGCGCCATCCATCCGACATAGTGGAAACCATCTGAGTGAGCTCCTCTTCCTGGCACTGTAGCACGCGGTAGACATGCTTAGGAGGCACCTGACAGCAAAATTGCAGAGCATGTTGACAACATTCAGATGCTAAAGGCTGTTGCTCTCCTGCAGAATGAAGTGGTAGTACCCTCCTGGACAGACCTGACCTCTTCCCCATGTCCCAGGTTAAAGGGGAGTGGAAACCACAACCCAACTTTCTACTATGCTGCCATGGGGAGCAACAACAACAGTATCTTTTCTGGAGAGGAGGGACTGAGCTGAGTGCTTCCTGCATTGTCCCCAGAAGATACTGGTCTCTTTCAATGGGGAGTTTGCATTTGTCGTTACAAAGTCATTTATGCAAATGCCACAAATGCTGATGGGGTTTTGGGAGCGCAAAGCGACTGTGTTGCTGGAGGCTTACAACCTGAGGCAGACATGATGAAAAGTGAGATATCAGCCAACACTCCCAGAAGACAGATTTTAAAAGGTTATTGGCCAAGACAAGGTGTGATTGTGCCACAGGATTGATTCCTTGTGCCTCACTGTCTGCATTTAACTCTTCCACAGACATCTCTTCACCTGTTCCCTCCGGGTTTCTCTACAGGTATCCCCATGCTCTTCACTGTGATTACACTCCCAGGACACCCCACACCAGAGCCCTCCTCCCCACGACACCTTCGCTCTCCTCATAAACATTCTTCCATATCCCACAGCAACCAGCTGCCTTCTTCCAAAAGCTAGAGGAGCTGATCTGGTTTCAGGGGCTACATCCAGCATTGCTTCTGGGGATGCAAAACAAGCCTGTAACTTGTTTATTGTAACAAAAATAGTGGTAGCCTGTCTCCTGCAAGATTTTGCTGTGTAGACATTAGCACACAAACTCTAATTAGTTGCTTCTTTCCATTCCTTGCTGCTTCTCCCAAGTCTGCTCTCCCTCTAGACTCACCTCTCCCTTTCTACATTCCCTCCTTCGCCCACACCACTCTATCTTTCCTTGCCATTTCTCTCCATACCTGAGTTACTGTGTAGTTCTTCTCCTCCAGTCGATCCTTGATTATTCGGATTAAAGGACCAATGTTATAAAACTCGGCTTCTTCTAGGACCCCTGAGAAAGAAAGACAGAAGGACCACAAAAACAGAGTTAACAGCCCGTCTTTGTTTTTTGCGTTGCAAAAGATCCATTCTGAGCTTCCTAAGGTCCATAGGGAGAAATGACACTGCAGCCTCACTTTTTACAGGCTTCTGTTGCTTGAAACTCTTACTGCAGAGAATTGAACCCTGGCTCTCTGCATTGCATTTCTAATGCTCACCCCGATTTTCTTATGCTGCCTGCCACTACAGAAACAGGCACTGCCGGTGAAGGCTTGTGCCGAGGACTGCTAATACCTTTCCCAGATAACTGGCCAAGGAGAATAAATGTAGGCTCCAGCCTCTCTCAGTGACCGCTAGTTATCATCTTGTTCAGGCCCTCTTCTTAAGGCAGAGAACCACAACTTGTTCTGACCTTGTCACCAAAAGACCCTAGAAAATCCCAACTTGCCGCCTGGGCCAGTTGGAGTTGCACCCACTTTGCAGCCCCATATGACTTCAGATGATCTTTGGCTCTCTCCCCTGTGCTTCACCTCAAAGCAGGTAAACAGAGAAGTGTGTTGGTTTTTTTCTCTGTGGTGTCTGTATCCATCACCTCTCCTGAGACTCACCTGTTTGCTAACAGGCCTTCAGGGAAAGGGAGGTGGGTTCCCAGAGCAAGGCGGCTAGGAGCCAACACTCGCATGTCCCCAGGGCAGTACACAGACAATGCAGGTGGGGAGATTGATCCTTCACTACCTGACACACTCATACCTCTTCTGAGTCCCTCATTCAGCCGTGAATCGTCTAATGGGTTAGTTTTATGCCAGCCTGAGTGTCTGCAGCAGGAACAAAAGGCAATGTTAAGCTATGAACAGGACTCCTGTTTATGCTTCAGATTTGATGTTAAAACCTGTGGATGAACTCTGTCTGACTCAGATTTACAAGAAATGTCAAGTAGGAAATACCTCAGAATTGCATTTATTAAAATTCTTTACCATTGCTTAGACATATTTTTGGAATTATAACTCATAAGACGATTCTGAAGAAAACTTTCCATGCATTAGGTAAAAATATGTAAGAGAGAGGGGCAAGAAGACTAATAAACATGCAGAAACTGTGCTTGGCAAGGGCTGGACAGCACAGCCTGTCTTTGGAATTGGCTCCTTGTTAGACTCCAGCATCCAAAAAATAACGAGGCATTGGGGACTGCTGGCTGGTTACACTGTGATGTTACTGAGTTATCCTATTGGACCCCCCCGTCAACCTCAAATGAGGGATTGGTTTGTCTGGCTTGCTCCACTGGAATTGCTGCAGTCCACAACCCATCAGAGCACTAGTAGCATACATTGCATATCACTGATTAATGATGGTCTTTATTACAGTCAGCAGAAGAGATGAGCTTGGTTTTGTTTGGTCTTCTGGGTGTTCATTCCTAATTAGAAACACTCAGTCATTAACAGAAAACTCAGTCACAGAGCCTGGTTAAAAGTGGATCAGGAACAAGTAAAAAATGGTTTATTGACGCTGAGAGATCTTGCCTACTTCTGTCTTGGTGACATCTCTGCTGAACGAACAGTCATGAAGCCACAACACTTGTAGGATGCCTTCCTCACCTACTCCGAACCCCTTTAGTAGAGGAAACATCGGTATGCTTTCCAAGACCCGCAGGGATAGCCCTCTCAAATCCCCACACATCAACCTCCAGAAGGAGAATGAGAGACAACAAGGTCGACAACAAGTCCTACTGTGTCCTGTCTACAGCAGCGATGTTAAATGGGAAGTTTCTGAGCTCCAAGACTCACCCTCTTCAGCCATATCTTTATCCAGGACCAGCTTCCCATGACGGAGGAAATTCAGGATGGGTCCAAAGTAAGTGGGGTCCCGGTCTATTAGGTATGCACCAGTCTCATCCTAGCAACAGAGATAGACCACGAGGAGAAAAACTCCATGGGGAACTTGTAACCAACCCTCAAAAGGTTGGTTCAACCCTCAAAAGCTCCAGACTATACAAAATATACAAAGAAAATACAAACCTAAGCAAAAATGTCCACTATTTCTAAGACTCCTTGGAAACCATGGGCCCCTGAGAGTCCCTAGCCAAGTCAGCCCAGCTTGGATTTTAACTCCTGTATTGGTATGCTCAGCGTGCCCACCTCAGCATGGACCAACCCAGCTGAGAAAGCCAAAAAAATAGGCCTCAGCCTCCTTCTGCAACTGTGCGTACAGGCCTGGTGTGAGAGAGCAGAGAGCCCCCATATAGGGGACAAGGCTGAGTCAGGCTGGGAGGTAGAGCCAGGGGATGTGGGGTGATAGAGAGGCGGGAGAGCAGGGGCAGAGGGGAAATGGCCTCTCTTTTCCCCAGCTCAGGAAGACAGGTGCCAGGCTACAACACAGCAAGGTGGGATCCGGCAAGGGGAAATCCCTCCCGGGAGAGCGGGGAGAAAGAGCAGGCATTTTTCACTCGGTTACTCCTGCAGCTGTCGGGGTCTGGCTCCATCCCTGCATCCCTCCAGCCCTCCGCATGCTCAGTGGGGCACAGTGTGGGAGGCAACCCAGCTGCCTTACCCGATCTGACTGCAGCTCCTCGCCCTGGCACAAGCGACACAGGAAAGATTTCTGCTCCCGACACAGGGTCTGCCTGGTGGTGAGGAAGACAGTGCCCCCCACATTGAGCCTCACCCACTTGGACTGGGTGCCAGTGGGTGGCAGGATGTCCCAGGTGCAGCGTAGCCCCACGGCGCCCTGCATCTCCTCCCCGCCCTCCATCCTCATCCTCATCCTCATCCCCCCCCCCCCCACCCC